GGCCGTCCGGCGACTTCTCTCGACCGTTTTAACATGAAATAACATGAAATGACTTGACATGCTCAATTCCACTGAATATACTCAAAAATCATGATTTTGCTCAATATGCTAAGTTGGCCGGTGGCGTGCGCACCATGCGCCGCCTACGGCGTTAAGCCGATCCTCGACCAACCTTTATTTTTCTTCAATAACCAACACATAACTGAACATGACATAATATTTACTGATTAAATCAACATGAATTGCTCGAATAATCAATATCCAACATGACCATACACATGGACGGCCCGTGGCATGCGCTACGTGCGTATCCACGTCCCTTTAGCCATCTCAACGATTAAACATGGAAATTCCTCGACTAACATGAGCTGACTGAACATAATATGGGATGTAATGGCTGAATGCATGAAACTTGATCGAGAGTTTCGAACAAAAACATGAACATACTTGACATGATTTAATTCGAATGGCCGAGAGTAACTTAAAGCCATATCATGAGCATGACTTAAGCAAAACTGATCTAACATGACTTTAGCAACATCAAGCAGAGGTGAACCGAGGTTACCTCTTCGAACGCTCGGCTATAACTACACCAACTCTCGTGACCGATCGGATGTTGCGCCTCCGTGCACACTCGTAGGCTCTCGCGCGCTGCTTGCGCCTAGGCTATCCATGTGCGGTATTCTCTCTAAACTAAAGGAAAACCCTCACTTTCTCTCTATACTTAATACTTGCTTAGAAATATAGATTAAGTGTAGGAGCAAAATTTATCCCCACTCATCATATATAAATGGCCGAATATGAAGTGAAGAGGTGGGGAAAATATTTTTTCCAATAATCTTGCTCCATTTGTTGAGAATTAAGACTTAATATGCTTAGTCACATAACATGAGGATTAGTCATCACTAAGCTTCTACAATATTGCCACCTCAAGCTTAATCGCATGATAATATCACATGACTTGACATACAAAATGCTCACGGCATTTGTACAAAGTTAATTGAGATTTCCCCCAAAATTTACTTAGAGAATTGCTACAGCATTTAATGATTTAAGCTTGATTAGCTCTTAATTAAGCATGCTTAATATGCTTAATTATTTAACTAAGCATGATATTTAATTACCAAAATTATTCCGAATGTAAACGTGACTTCGAAAATAATTTCGGATAATCTCGACTGAAATAATTAATTCTGAACAATTTATCGACTAATAGTCAAACTTGGAACTTAACTAGCTGAATAACATGAACTTGAACATTAACATGAATATTTATTAACAAAGGCTAGCTTTTACTCGAAAGCTAGTATTTTCCTTTATTAATAAAATACGGGGCGTTACAAATATGATCTCCTAAATAATATTCGATAAATAGAATATTCTAAGAAATTCAGTAAATAGAACGGGGCGTTACAATCTCAATATTTATTTGATTCAAAACATCATGCTTTATTTTCTAAAGTATAATATTTGAGTGAAAAAATGTAAAGCTGTAAAAAAAAGGAAGATACTACGGTCCCATTACGGAACCATTCCGTCGGGGTGTGTAACCGTTTGATCAATTATCTCTGACGGTTACATGATGATATGACGGTTACAAACACGATGAAATGGTTCCACAACGGGACCTTTGCATTTTCCTAAAAACGTATCTAACAGTTGAGTCTATTTGCACCTAACATGATTCAATTGGGCTGATTAAACAGTGGATGCACCTCTTACATTGTCATTCTCAACATACTTGTCCTTGGTTGTGGTGTATGGGAGTGTCATGTTATACCGCCGCCAAAAATTGTTGGTAAAATACATGTATTTTCACCGATATTGGTTCGAACTGCTTGTAGTTTTTTAAATAACTAACCATAACATTGTTGCATATACTTACGGTTTAAACAATGTTGAAATATAGGTTTCTTGGTATTGGTATGTTCTCCTTGCGCTAGTTAAAGTCCACGACAACTATTTCGGTAATCTTACCTTTGATAGTCGTAATTTGATGCAGTAATTATTAAAATTGGATAAGATGCTGATATTCACTTATTTTACTGAAGTTAACAAAGCATTCCAATTCACGTCGATCACAAGTGTGGTGATCCTCGATTGTTGGACGATAGCCTGGGCAATTATTCTCACGTGGATTTTCTTGGGCACGAAATATTCTGCTTGGCAATTTTTTGGTGCAGCAGTTTGCGTGACGGGCCTTTGCCTCGTTCTTCTTTCTTATGCTCGTTCGGGTGGTGGTGGTGGTGGAGGTGAAATTTAAATATCCCTTTTTTTTGTGCAGACAAATTTTTGAAATTACTAATATTCCCTTTGTTTTAAGTTAGTGATTTATGGAGATCGTTTGTTATAAACAAACTTAGTTAGCTCACATTTCAGGTGGTTCGGTTCGAATCCTCTGTTGGGCGATTTTCTCGTCATAACAGGCATGATATTGTTTGCAATGAGCAATGTTGGTGAGGTTGGTTTTTAAGATAACAGATATTCGTTAGGCTACGAAGTTAAAGAGTTTGTTGTTTTACAAATGTTTCCTTCCTTTTTGATCGATATATACAGGAATTTTGCGCGAAGAAGAAAGATCTAACTAAAGTAATAGCAATGATTGGTCTGTTTGGTATGCTCGTTAGTTTATCCGAGATGTAACCTTTTCAAACTATATTCACAAACATCAATTATAAGCTTTCTACATTTTTTTAAAGAAATCGAGAATTTATGTTGTTTAATTCCTTAACTTTGTACTTAGTCCTGTCTTGGAGAGGAAGGCCCTGATGTCGATTAATTGGACTGCTGAACTTAGTAAGTAGAAAAACAAAATGGTGCAGCAAATTAAGAGCTGTTGTAATTTAGAATTCAATCGTGCAAAAAGAATGCTCATTGTTCGATTTCGAAAAATGTAATGTTCCTTTTATCACCATTTTTTGTTTTCGTTCTTTTTTCCGTGTTGGTTTTCAGGTGTCAGCATATGCTGGTTACGCATTGTCGAGCTTTCTCTTCTACACGCTCGCTCCTTTCGTTCTCAAGGCTAGGTCCAATGTTCATTATACATATCATGCATCAAATAATAAATTTCATGAAAACTAAAAGAACTACAAAATCGAACCCATCTCCTTTAAAACATCCTCTATAGTCGATCATGCTTTAAGATGGATTATGTTTTATACATATAAGCGGAACCACACTGTTCAATCTTTCCCTTTTAACATCCGCCATTTGGGCAGTTGTAGTTAGAAAATTCATCTACAAGCAGAAGGCAAGGCACGACTTTCTTTTCTTTTATTATTACTAGTAAAGTGCACGTGCATCGCACGTAGTGATAAATGTTTTTTGCCGATTGAAATCAATAAAATAAAATAATTAATTTATAAAACAATTAATTGCAGGAATGAAGTAAAATATATGATAAATGAGCTTCTAATGTTTTTTTTAATAACAATACGATGTCATAATATAAAAGAGAATGAAATAACATATTACAACTCCAACAAAAATATAGTCTCTAATAAAAAAAATACTAAATAACTAAATAAGGACCTAATTTATATTATAGATGCATTAGTTATTTTATTTAATTATGTTAGATGATTAAAGAGTAATTTTTTTCATTTTGGTTTTGACGTTTTCATAAGAAACATTCATGCTCGTTGGAGCCTAGTACATCAATAGTGCTGCAAAATTCTTCTAAATTCATTTGACAAAATGTCCTCATTATTCAATCACTTATAAATATCCTGGCCAAACATATAGTCAAACTTCATGATTGTATGATCTTATAAGATATTCAATCACCGACTTCTCTGAAAGAAATTTTATCATGCTCTGAATGATTCTTTTTCAATGTTATTTATTTGGAAGGCAAACGAACTATATAGCCTATTGTTTGCAAATCATTGACCATCTTGGTTACAATGATTTTAGCATTGTTTATCATAATACCTTTCGCATTCTATTGAATTTGTAGTACTTATGTGCCTAATAATATCTTTAATGTTTTTATTGTCCTTTTTTATCATCATACATAATGCTTCGAAAATTCAAGATAAAGATCTTTTCTTGGAAAAACAAAAACAAAAAAAAATAAAAAAACAATGAGACAATATTAAGAAACATATCATTTGTTAACATTTACATTATGTATTATAAAGTTTTTATTTTATTTTTTAATTCTTGATAATGTAGGATCATATTTATGAGACCTAATTTCTTATAATGTTCATTTATTTAGACGTTAGTAAAAAAAAAAAAAAGTAGTAATTTTAAAAGACTTTTGTTTCTAGATAGTACTAGTATTCATATTTCTCTAAGAAAATACATACTTTTTCTTTTCCTATTGAATTACTATCGTTGTATTTGTTTCTTATTCTATTCATAAATAATATTTATTTATTAAAAGAATTATATCACATTTATATGTATTGCGTCATTTTTTTTACATACTTTATATAATGATGTTGCAATCAAATATCTTATTTATTAGGCTACAACTAATATAATCATATAAGATAAATATTATTTAATATTAATTAATTATTTCTAATAATAATATATTTGACAAAAATTTACTTTTATACTGGTTATAGATTAAAAAGTTTATGATTTCTTTGATTGTTTGATAAAATATTAAGTAATTACCTTATTTTCGTATTCATTGAAAATATATGTTATATTTTACAACAATTATGGTGTTTCTTTCATGCAATAACTGAATAATTGTTTAAAATATAACTCATTTATTTCTCCTTTTAATTCACATAGTTAATGTTGGTAGTAGTTGTAAGTTTACATAAATTTTGTACGTTTTTCTTATTTGTATGAATATTTCAAATCTATGTAAGCAAAATATAGCACAAGTTTATCTTATTTTTTTTCATACTTAATAAAATTTGTTTAACAAGGATTTGTAATTTATTTTATAAGATACTTTAGGTCCATTTATAATTCAAAATTAGTATTGGTATATATATATATAGTATATATATTAGTATTGGTATATATTAGTATATATATATATATATTAGTATTGGTATATATTAGTATATATATATATATATATTAGTATTGGTATATATATATATATATATTCTATATCAATAGAATAATTATATTATTTTTATTTTATTTGCAACACATTGGTCAAATTAAACATCATTGGAAAGAAATGGTATGATATATTACGTATAAAAAGGGTAACAAATAAATAAAAGATTTTCAAAATTGAGAATTTTAATGGTAGACAATAATTAAATTTGCAAATAAAAAATTTAAGACTAACATACCAATCTTTAATGCCAAAAATATATATTTTTTATGTACTTAAAAGTTCTAACAAACAAATGTTCATCTTGAATATGTTTATATTTT